AGAAGACAGGAGGCGGAGCTGGAGGTGGCAGAGTTAAAGATGCTAAGATTCTCTTTAGGAGTGACAAGAATGGACAGGATCAGGAATGAGGTCATTAGAGGGACAACACAGACAGGAAGGTTTGGAGAAAAAGCTAGAGAAGCCAGATTGAGATGGTTTGGACATGTGCAGAGGAGGGACAGTGGATACATTGGTAGAAGAATGTTAGAGATGGAGCTACCAGGTAGGAGACAAAGAGGAAGACCAAAGAGAAGATTTATGGATGCAGTGAGGGAGGACATGCAGATAGTTGGAGTCAGAGTAGAAGATGTAGAGAACAGGGAGAGATGGAAAACAATGATTCACTGTGGCAACCCCTGAAAAAGGGACAAAGCCGAAAGAAAAAGAAGAAAATCTATTGAGACAAATGTCTTTTTTTTTTTACAAATATATATTTTTTACATTATTGACTACTATCTTGTAAATTTCCTCTACCTTCTGGTGTTGACTGCATTCTCCAACTCATGGGCTTTCTGAGCAGCAACGTGTAGCACTGGATCTGGGATGTCAGCTAGTCGGGCCACATTCAGGCCGTAGCTCCGCCCTGCAGCTCCTTCAGTCAGCTGGTAGAGGAAGGTGATGAATTCTGGACGAACCTCTCCATCTGCAGGCCGTCACATTTACTCAGCTGGTACAAAGCAGCCATTATAATAATTCAAACAGGCAGGAAGCTCACTTGAACCTACCGTCAGTATCAGGAGCAGCGTCAGGTTCGTTGAGCAGGAAATCCATGTGGTAGTTAGAGACGTGCTCAGGATAAACTCGCTCCAACTCACACAGCGGGGGATAGTGGGTTACAAACAGGGTCAAGGATTTGACCTGAAGAGGAATTACAATATGGATGAAAATGTACAGAGTGACCATAGAAGCTCGTAGGAATTTAAACTGCATTAAAAAGGTCAACCATAGGAGATTATAATCTGACTGTACACTGACAGTTTGAATATCCATGTAAAAAGGCAGAGAGCAGCACTGCTGTAGGTTAGATAAGAAAATGACTGCAGTGATGTGTGGCGTTGGTCTGACAGAGGAGTCGATGTTGTTGTTTCCCACAGCAGTGAAATATGTCTCAAAACAAGAAGAGAAAGAAGGAAAACAATACACAGTCAAGTCACTGGTGTCGGCCCCTCATCGTTTGATTTTACTGCCAATAAAACTGCTGCTCTCCCAGTTCCCACCTACTCACCAGCTTTGCATAGAGTTGATAAAAAAAAGAAAAAATAAGATCAGTGTGGAGACGAGAGGAAAAACATACAATCACATTCAATCTGAGGAACATGTTATTAACTTAAGTCACAGCTGCATGTACAGATAATCTCGTCTACTGTATGTCTATTATTGGCTGATTCAAATGTTTTTTTATTCAATTAAGGAATATGAAAGTTGAAACGGTTTCATATTAAACCTCAAATAAAATCTGCAATATTTTCGGCGGTGAGTGTATGGTCGATAATCAAAATAATGACAGCGTAGCTGTGGATTAATCATCATTGGTCACGATTAATCATGATCATAGTTCATCCTGTTTAATCATGGTCATCAATTTCAGTAATCAGCATTTTGAAATATGAAACATCTTTTTATGTGTATTGCTGGAACAGAGCAATAAACATAAGAATGTGTAGTAGTTTTATTCTAGTCTTTTTCTGACTAATCCAAATAATTGAATTAATAACATGATGAAAAATAATAAACTCAAATCATAGCAAAAATATTTTCTTATTTCAGACACACTTATTTCATTACAAACATTTTTTCTTTTTCAAATTTCACTATTACGTACTGTCATATCAGAGCAGCTAGTTGTGTATGAGATACCTCAGAGTACAGCAGAGCTAAGTCTTACATCATCACAGCAGACAAGAGGCTAAAGGACTCTGCTGACTCCAGCATCAGTCTCCTAATCGCTTGGCCTAAAAAGGTCACATGTCACTAGTAATACTTCCCTCAGATGTCCCGCTTTGTTTCCAACTGAGACAAACAGAGGTGTACCTGCACAACACACATTAAAACAAACTCCAACATACACACAGACACACACAAACAGACCAACTCCAGCTGCCTCAATCATTTCTGTCCACCTACACTGAAAACTAAAAGCAAACAGAGCTCTGTGAAGGCAGAACAAGGCCATGATTAGTGTCTAATGAAAGCTGATTTCCAGACCACCCTCTGGTGATGCAGAGTCAGACTCTGTAATGAAATTACTGCTGAAACAATTAATAGACTTTAAAAATGATATTTTTTAAAAATAATTAAATAACCGGTGGATTCAAGGACTCAGGACTTGGATTTAGTTTTTTTTATTATTATTATCATTCACAGTGTCCACTGCTCCTTATTTTATTTTAGTCAACAGAACATCCGAAGGTCCCAAAGGATTATTTACGGTACATCATGGATCGTTGTCTGACAGATAAACCATGCAGAGAGTTACCGATCATAAACCACGATCAAAATAACGAGGTTGACGGTAAAAGATTTAAAACAGGGATTATGGACCTCAACAGTCTGTAATCACGGCTCAATATGGGCGCTAGCCTGAAATCTAATACAAACATCCAGTCAGGAAGACAATCTTTGGCAGCCTAAACACTGACAAACCTACAGTAGTAGAATTGAGTAGGACATCACTTTAATGTCTGCCCATCATCCTCACTGGATTCTTCATAGTTTAAGAGACAACAGGAGCAAAGAAGACAGCACTATCAAAGACATCCAGAGAGAAAAATCAAAAGACATTTGTCAAGACAAGTCATTCTAACACTCAAAGCTCACTGGATAACAAACAGCAGGATTTAACACTGTTACACACTACACTCCGAGGATCAGTTCAGGCCACCAGCGCCTCAGTCATAAGTCTCATCCTTGGCTCTGGAGAATTGTGTTCTAAGCCCAGTATGCGACACTCTGTACACCCACGAATGCCCTGCTTCACACCGCAGCAATACAATTATTATATTAGACAATGACACAACAGGGTTGGACCTCGTCTCCGGAGAGGAGACTGGATACAGAGATGAGGTCCAGAGGCTGTTGAACTGGAGTAAACAGAACAACTTGGTAATGAACACACCTAGAGCAAAAAAGGCATGAAGACTTCAAGAAGAAGAAGGGGAATCAATTTTCTTTGTCCAAAAATACTCAAAAAATACTCTAATGGTAAAATGAATAAATCTTCTTCTTTTTCTTACAGCTTTGTCCCTTTTTTCAGGGGTTGCCACAGCAAATCATTGATTTCCATCTCTCCCTGTTCTCTACATCTTCTACTCTGACTCCAACTATCTGCATGTCCTCCCTCACTGCATCCATATATCTCCTCTTTGGCCTTCCTCTTTGTCTCCTACCTGGTAGCTCCATCTCTAACATTCTGTCCATCCTCTGCACATGTCCAAACCACCCCAATCTGGCGGTAAAATGAATAAATAAATAAATAATATATATATAAACAAACAATAGATAGTAGAAAATAGTTGGGGTTTAATCAGTTTATTGTTTAAAGTATTCTTAGCTACTGCATTATTTCATGGTTTGCTTGATGTTTCTCATGACCAAAAAAAAAAAATGAGATGAATGTCCAGAGTAAACTCACTTCACAAATATGTAGAGTGAATTTTTTTAACAAACTGCATATGTCTCTCTCTCTCTCTCTCTCTCTTTTATACTTTGGGTAAACATGCATGTGTTTGTGTAACTTTAAAACATGTGCTGTATTGGTACTTTATCTTGTTATGGGTCACAGAGGAAGCTGCAGTCAATCCCAGCTGGCCTTGGACAAAAGGTCATTAGGTCATCACATGGCCACGTAAAGCCACATGTATTCACTCTGACAATCCCACACAAAGTCAAAATCCACATCTGTTTAAGCCAGGAAACAGACCTGCTGGTCTTTCTGTTTGAATGTGTTCAACATCTGCACTACAACGACTACAGAAGTCTTCATGGCCAGTCTATTTATCTGAGAATTCTGCTCAGACTAGAAACTCCAATATTAAATACAGCCTTTCCTCTATTTAACAACTCATTACTATTTTATTAATCATTACTTTACAGATATTGATGAGCATTTGTTTGATATCTGTTGTCTCATCGAGCCTAGATGAATGAATGACTGTTAAATTTTAATTTAATCTGTATCTCTCACTCTAATGGCGATCAGTGGGGATCATTTATCGACAGTAACACAAGGCAAAAACCTGGTTAGACAGTACATTTTGTATTCAGTCAAAACCTTGAAAAAAGGACTGAAAAATATAACAAATAAAAGCCTGACCTGTGCAAAACGTCGAACAAATTTTAATCATAATCATAGCTTTTTAAAGCATAGCATTTGAACTTTAAAAAAACTTTAAGGCGGTCAGGTCCAGATGGAACCGGCTGTGTGTTCAACCCTAATGACGTGATGTTTCAAATATAACAGTTCTCCCAGAACGCGGATCTGTCACATGATGACACTGTGCCTCAATGTTCTCCCCTAATGCCTGTCTTGTACCGTAATAAGATGTTTGGCCTGTGTCACAGCACACCTGTATTGCACCACATCTCATCCCTACCATATGTCTTTAATAACACTGTGTCCAGAACACCAGTGTGTGAACTCAATGGTGTCAAAAGTGTCTCGGTGTGCAATTATAGACAAATGCAATTCCAAGTTTATTTTACACCGTTTGTGTTCATATCTCACCTTCAACAAGGCCCTTCCTGACATCCTGTATGTGCACGTGGAACTGTAGCATAGTTGTTAGCTAGTCTCCTTCATTTGTGGCTTAGGGCACAGTTACACATTCAGTGTTTAAAAAACATTTATTACGTTTTAGTAAAAATATAAATGTTGATCTATTATGTATAAATTGTTAACAACCCATATATGACTTCAAGAAATTAGCTCGTTAGCATATAACTAGTGCTATCACATAATCTTCACCAGTCTGGATGTTTAAAGCTTGTCTGTAGATGAAAAAAGACAAAATGACATGAAAAGACAACAGAGGAAAAATATCTACTGGCTTCAACAGTACATACAGTATATAATACTGTAAGTTTTACAAGATTTGCCATTGCAAAGATGCTAAACTGGGAAGGCTGCTAACACGAGACTAAAATAAGAAACGTTGCCTGGGTGTTTCAATTCAGTCATGACAAATATTTTAATATGTATTAACATCTTCACTTGAGTAACAAATACACCTTTGAAAAACTGAGTGCTGTTGTTTTTGTTCCAGTCAGACCAACTGTCAACTCAGTATCATCAAATCCATAGTATTTTACTAGAAATCCTACATGAAATGTGTTACTTCTTAACAGGTTACAACTTTACTGTTAAGTAAGTGTTAACTTATGTCAATATACAACATGAACAAGAACAAGAAACACCAAATAAATTGATTTAACAATCAATTTATTTTTGTGCCACACAATATTTGTGGTGTTTAACTTTTTTTTTGTCTGTGTGTCTGTGTGTCAAGCTGTTCTGTTGTATGTCACTCTGACTGTCAGACCGGGAGAAAAGTCGCCCACGTTGACGGCCCATTAAAATAAACGTACCATTTCTGTCATTTTACTCGCATTCAGCTGAAATCCAGCAGATACAGCACCATCATTGGCTACTCACACATAATAAGCACATTCTTCTCCACAGAATAACAGGCATCAAACACCTGCTTGATGTATGTATTCACGCAGCACTGGTGTATTATTACGTAGCCTGACCTTTTTAGCTTACATTTGATTTGGTGCATTGCAGAATTGGTTACGACAAGGTTTTTGAATTTGTATTGCACACAACATTTCTCTCTTTCTTTGCCAGATGCACATTCTCTCTGCTTAGCATGTGGATTCTCACTCCCCCGTCTACAATCCATATTTATTTTATATTGTATTCTGGAGCTGTTGTCAGGTGGTGGGAGCAAACAGGTACACATAGAGGAAACCTAGGGTTAGCTTATCAACGGCTTATGTACGGCTGTCTTATCAAGTCCAAGTGTCAATTCTTACTCTTACGTTCTCTTCTACTTACATGTGAAACAAACATATTTCAATAACAGTTGTGGTATTAAAGATAATCTCTCTGAGAGAACAAACATCCTGAATATTCGGGTTTGCTGTGCACGTGGATATTTTGCAAAAGCGTCGTTCATGAGCTGGAGCACATCCGACCACTTACGCCTACGTGGAATAATAGTCTTCCGGAAAATTCAGCTGTTAATGTGAAGACAAAAGTGAGCTCCAAAGTGTTTTATTAGTTAAAGTATAAACCAGGGATCTGGTGCACTCCACTCTGTCTGTGCAGTACTATCTGCTTGTGTAGAAAATTGCACCATTCGTCCTACAAATGGAGAAAAAAAGAAAAAGTAAAAAATAATGTCATGACCTGCTGATAATAAAATTAAAGTGGGACTATAAGCATGTCTGACTGACCATAATGGGCTGAATAAAACCCCATAAGATAACTGTAGTTAAAATTTAAGGAAAAGGTTTTGGCTTCACCATAACATCCAGTGTCTTGAGGCAAAAGATAAACTTCGGTCTTTTTGCACCAAGGCTGTCTCCTTTACTGAGTGCTGTTATGAAACCTATCTACATTCTTAACTACCTCTCAGGTGAGTGTTGGGGACTGAAAAAGGTGTTACTATAACAACCAAGTCAAACAGACATTGTTTTGACTTTTGACATTAACATTTTAGTCTAGTATGGAGGACAGGAAGGAGAAGAAGGACAAAGAGGAGGAGGAAGACGAAGGTGAGGCGGGTGACAAAAGAGTAGGTGTAAGAGGAGAGTGTGTGAAAGGCTGAACAAGTCTGCCTCTGCTGAGGAGGCATTTCACTGTACACTGTAACTGTTTATTTTCTTTTCTTTTTCTCTCCGTCAACAACCGGGCCTTTCTCTCAGAAATCAATGCTGTTATACAATAGGTAGCTAAAGAGCTCCTGCATCACACCAACAGCACCACACTGCATTATGTGCGACTTACACATGTTAATTCTACCTTTAGCAGCAGAATTACACAATTCAAATGTTATGTTGTTACGTAAAACTGGCAAAAATTATGTTTATCCTTGTCCTTGTTTGAACGAGGAAAAATCTGGATCACTTGAACCCTATTTAACTGAGCTCTTGGAAAACTGAAAATAAACAGATACAAAAATAACTTAATTGTATTGACATCGGTCACAGCTCTGATTATCTGTGTTCAAGAAACAAAACAAGTATGAACTAATGGTAAAAGCCTGAAGAGAACACTGACGTTCTGATGACTGTGCTCACTGAACCACTTCAACCTTTATCCACAAAAAAACAATTAAAAAACTACTCCCTGAGGTTACTATACCAACAAAGAGTAAACACTATAAACCCAACCCTAAATGGAATCTATAACTAACACAATCCAATGCCCTGGGACATGTTTTCCAGAATTCCCAGAATTCCTATAATTGTGAAGGGGTCTACATGCTGTATCTATGCAGAAACAAAAGAATGATTAGGTTTTTTTTTTTCTACATATAAAGTCACATGATCTATCTAACATTCATGACCTCCTTAAGGGTCAATGGGGTCTGAAGCCAATCACTGGCTGAGGGCCGGTCCACATTGGACAGTTCCATAGTTTACTGCAGGACCACCCATTGAGACAACAACAACAACAACAACAACCCTTCACACTCATATTTATACAGTGTCCAGGTAATGGATGTTAATGAGGGCAGTGGTGGCTTAGTGGTTAAGGAAGCGGACTTGGGTATGGAAGTTGTAGTCCACCAGCTGCCAAGATACCACCGAGGTGGCTCTGAGCATGGCACCGTCCACACACACTGTTCACTTTGGTGATGGGTTAAATGCAGAGGTCACATTTGGTTGTATGCAGTGGTGTGCTGTGTCACAATGACAAAGAGTTCACTTTCCTTCCTTTTCTTCCTGCCAAGACACTGCAGTGTTATATTAACTACTACTTAAGGGGAACTGGTAATCATTTTATTCTAAGGCAAATATGCTGGCCACTTCCACCACTATGGCCCTATCTATCAAAACATATTGTATTGAATTTTTGTGTGAATTATTATTTAACCCAATCTAATATATATTTTGTTTATATATTTTTTTATCATTATATAACTATTCCCTTATAAATATGCTGTCCCAATGTGTTGCCCATGAATAGTGGTGTTGTGTTAAAAGGTAACATTCACAGAACATGCCTGTGATTCAAATACAGAAATCGTACATACATCCATGATTAAATAATAACGCAATGGTCTGTGCAGAACATTAATCCAAACTGCTATATGTAAGTACTGCGCAGAAGTGACGCAACAACACCAGTAAGTAGAAAAAAAAAAACCCCACATCCATCTCCTCTCAACATCCCACTCTTGTTCTCTTGTCAACGCGACAGCAAAAAAACACTGTGTGCAAAAGAATGGACACCTGACTGTGCCAAATCACACAATGAGAAAAGAACACGGAGGCATACACACAGTAACGTGACATTAGAGGAGAAAACCTTAGACCTGTTTCTGACCTTAAAGTCATTTTACACTTGACCTTTTCTTCTACACTGAAGGCACGTAACACTAATATGACAGTTTTCGGTTACTATCAGGAAAATCCCTGATACACACAAACAAACAAACACCTCTAACCCTGGACCAACTGTCAAAAGACCTGTGGTGTTAATGTTGCATGAAGATAACATGCTGTGTAACACAAAGTGTCAAGTCAGATATTAACACCATAGATCAAGTGTCTTCACGGCCACACGAGGCTTGTTTAACTCAGCCGCCTTTGAAGAGTACTAACATGAACAGAAGTAGAAACCGTGTAGAAAAACCTCTCCACTGAGAGTCATTAATTTGATGGCTAAGTGGTCTGGTTTCAGGTTTTAACAGAACGTAGTAGAAGTGTGTGTTGACAAACATCGATTTCACCCATATAATGTTCTGCAGTTGCTCAGAATTTGCTTTTTTAAAAAAAAAAAAATGTTTTATGCATATTTTAGAATGACTCAACTCATTGTTATTCCCCCCAAAAAACATGTGATGTGATTGATTTTTCTAAAACATGTGATGATCACATTTTATTTATCCTCCAATTATCCATTCCTGCATCAATCGATTGCTTTTTATTGTTGAATTTACACAAATAAAAAACATCCACAGTGGAAGTCTAGACACTTGTATCATTAATACTGCTGAACACCAGAATTAGACCTCACCTTGTCACACTGTCACACATAGTCGTGTGGTTTAAATTCTAACTTGATCCTCTTGCCTTCTATCTAACATGTACTCACACGACTGATGAAGTACTCCAGGGTGGCGTAGGCGATGGCGATCCCATCATGGGTGCTTGTGCCCCGCCCCAGCTCATCGAGGATGACCAACGAACGTTCTGTAGCATTACAAATGATCTCAGAGGCTTCAGTCAGCTCTTCCATGAATGTGCTGCGGCCTTTGTAGATGTTGTCTGCAGCTCCCATCCTGACAACCAATCAGAGAAAGGGATAAATAATAAGAGCACCACTATTAGTTAATTGTAAACTTATAATTAAAAACATGTGATGCTAATTAATATGGTACCTGAATGTTTAATGTAGGAAATGTTAAAGGAACACACTTCTGGTCACAGCTGGATTCTACACACACCTGTTTGGCAGACCCACTCTAAATTACTGGTTTCTGTGTCTTTACCTTTAAATGGTAACGAGCCAGTGTAGGCCACACTGAGCTGAGGACAGCTGCAAATAACCATGACCATGGTTGAGCATTTAGCACTGCGCTAATAAAGCAGCAGTGCTTATGGAAAATTGCTTGGTTTTTTTTTGCACAATATGTCTGCTTTATATGATTCAACTAGCACAATCATTTGTTTTGGTTTTTTTAACAAAAACAATAATCACAGAAATAAATGACAACCATCAGATAGCAATGTCAGCATGTGTCAGGCAGTCGGCCTTTTTTATACTTATTGACCTTGAGCATTAAATCTGTCGATGGACCGCCATGGGAACCTGCACAACACTCGGTTTCTATGGTTACGCCATACGTCATAGAGGAGATTTGTGTGTCAGACGTGCAGCAGCATTTCATGAGCCAATTTATAGTCAACATGTGTTTATGTGCCTACCTAGTACTCAGAGGGAAATTAATGGATCTATACTGTGGCAGAGCAAAAAGTACACACAAATGACACACAAAAAAACAAGTCATTGAACGCTGCTGTGCAACTGTACACTGATGAGGAAAGCACAGCGAAAACACACAGAGCTTCCTCCACCAGCTGGGTGTCCTGCTGGTTTAGTGCTAGGGTCCAACAAACAACTTGATACTGAAAATAGACTCCATTTATCATCACGTCATCAACGCACTCCTATAATATTGTCTTCTTATTATATCACCAAAGTGGCCTTTGTTCTGACTGGTCTAACAGCTGGTTTATTACAGAATTACCGTCCATTTGTCCAAAAAAAAAATATTTATAACAATATAAAGTTTATGGGTTAAAATTTAACAATTAGTTTTTTCAAAAGCTTTTTTTTTAATTTTTTTTTCTGCATTTTATTTATAATTTCAGAGCATTTGGGAGCAACTACAACATTGAAAGGATTTCTACTCACAGACAAACATTTGAGGATAGAGAGGACTTTTCCTGTGAAGTTTTAACTCCTGCTTAGATTGGAAAATCGTCGATACTCATTTTGGACATTTTTAGCCCCAGATTACCTAATTGGTAATCAATTGTGTGGTGGGAAATAGTTATTTGTTTCAAATATCATGCCCTACTAGGAAACCTAATTTCCACTCTCACTTGCAAAAGTTAATTACCTCGCCCACACATAGGTGAGGAATTGTGATGGCCCTGTCTGACACATTTGCGTTTGTCAATATAAGCACACATACTGTATGCACACACACACACACCTCTCCTTAGCATTGTCATTATGTCATCATCTTAGAATTACTGAAGCGCAGAGTAAAGGATACATTACTATTTAAGGATAATTAAATTATTCATCACACATATTAACTGTTATTAATAACATTATGTTAAAGCACTGGCATTTTTTTGTGTGCCACCACTGAGAATTGTTTAAGAACAATAAGCTCTACTTGTAAATACACCACGACAGCCCAGGCTCGGATTTGAATCAGCAATCTGCAGGCTGCCTCTAGATTGGCTTTTACCATCGTTTACATCAAATCTCTCCTTATAAGCACCTGTGAAATGCTAGCGGTCATGATGTGACTCTAAATAGGAATAAGCTCCTTAACAGCAGAGCAAATAATGGTACATGTTGCCTGATTGAAGCTGTTTTTTCCTCCACATGCTCAACGTGCAAAAAGACACACTGAGTGCTGATGTCATGAGAACTGGTGGCACCTTAACACTCATGTCAGTGCTTGACTTCCGCCCATCGTACATTTCTGAGCCGTGAAAAAGAGAGGAAAAGAGAAGAAAAAAAAATTGCACTGCAGTTACTGATGGGAGGGAAGGATGTGAAGGATTTAAGTAAAACAGTGTAATCACTGCTGTTGATTAAAGGTCCTTTCAAAACACTCTTTTACAACCTGCTTCCTTTTACTGTTTCCATAACAACCATGAAGCGATGGAAGAATGTGCTCTATAACCCTCAGGACACAATGCCGACACATACACACTCCCTGGTTGAATGTGTGTATGCAGATGTGTATGTTTGCACATGGACACAAAAAAAACACCCGCAGCCCCTGCTGCCTCACTCTGCCGTGTGTGTCAAAGAACAGGCCGGTCGTGCCACCAATGCTACACATCTGTACGGTTCACGAAAGACAAAACTGATACCAAGACTTAGTGAGGCAGCACGGAGTTGAAAAACCAAACTGATAATCATTTCACCCGCATTGATCATAAATCATCTGCATTGTTTGAGACAGGATATCCCATTAGACACCTACGCGCCTTCTTATTAACCCAACCAACAAAGTTAGCTCGTAAAACTCTATCACCATGTCTCGCTCTCTCTCCCTCCCTCATTGTCTCTCTGTCCAATTTGCTCATAAAGCACAGCATCTCACAAGCACACACAAAGTGATGCCTTCCCCACCGCTGGGTCTATTATGCTCCATGAGGCGGTGGGAACTGATTAAGTGTTGATGACTGAGACAGATATCTTCAAGGTCTTAGACTCCAGCAATAAAGGGGGAGGGGGATCGGGGAGTTGGGGGTGGGATGAGAACATTTTCAAACGGAGCGGACACCTGAGGTAACAGGTTGATCTTTGTGGACACTGAGAACGTAAACTGTACATTGTTTATTTTTGCACACACATAAAAATATTCTAATATGTTACTGCCCAATATATACAGTATGAGAGACCTACAGGAAACAGGAACACTGGCTACACACACACCTGATAATAAACAACTGTGCAAAGGCTGTCCTCTGGAAACTGAGCTTCATTCTGACATGACCCTGACCTCTAGAAACAGAGCTAATTAATGTTCAGCATGTAAACATAAAAGTTGTTGCACCACGTTGAAACATCATCTTTGTATGGGAAGAAAAAATGTCAATTGTAAACATAAAAAAAAACACAAAATGTGTTTTTGTTTTTTTTTTCTAGTTCTGAGAAGTGCGTATTATTAGGTGTCAGTCAAACGGAGAGTGGAGATTATATTCAAATTTCATATCTGACCATCACATCTGACCATTTCTATCACACATCATTTACCATTTATCCAAAATCGAACAAAGCCAAATTAAAGCTTTGTTTACTTAGATAATAAAAGTTAAAGGCACAGTTGGGTCTGGTAAAGAGTGGACAAGGTGAAAGGACATTATAAAACCTTTTTTTTTTTCTAATACAATGGAAGAACAAGCATAACCACACAGTTTAACCCAAGTCTCCCACTAGGTTAATCAGAACACGATTCAACCTAAAAAAGGGGGCAATTACACACATCTGCAAGTCATTAGGTCTAACCACAGTGGAGTAGAGCCTGTAGAACACAGGCCATACACTGTATTCACGTACGTTTTACTAATTTGCAGTCACCACTGTGTTTAGTGATCAGCTGCACAGAAGAAAAAAAAAAGAGAGACATTTTCCTTTGCCCTCAGTCCCTACGATAAATGTAGTTCCATCTCTGTGCACTGTGACATAGTGGATCCAGTCTGGGTAATAACTTCTAATCCCACGGTGGTAAGGAACCAATGGGATTAAAATGGATTAGAGACACTCATGTAGGTGAATGAGGCATTTAGCTACATCTAAATCTGACCTCATCCCTAGTAACTTGTAGGTATAATTGTATAAATTGACACAGGCTTGTGTTCATCGTACCTGGTGTAAATGCCATCCATGATGCCCAGGCGGGTTTCACAGGCCGGGACATACGAGCCCATGTGAGCCATGACACAGATGAGAGCCACCTGACGAATGTAGGAGCTTTTACCCCCCATATTAGGACCAGTAATTATCATAGTTCTCCTGCCATCACCCTGGAGAGAGGAGAGGGGAGGAGAATAGAGGAAAGGAGAGGGGAAGAGAGTAGAGGAAAGAAGAGGAGAGCAGTGGAAGAAGAGGAGAGGAGAGGGGAGGAGAGTAGAGGGGAGTAGAGGAAAAGAGAGGGGAGGAGAGGAGCGGAGTATAGGAGAGGGGAGGAGAGTAGAGGAAAGGAGAGGCGAGGAGGGTAGAGGAGAGAGGAGAAGAGGAGAGCAGAGGAGAGGGAAGGAGAGGAGAGTAGTGGGGAGGAGAGGAGAAGAGTATAGGAGAGGGGAGGAGAGTAGAGGAAAGGAGAGGGGAGGGCAGTAGAGGAGAGAGGAGAAGAGGAGAGGGGAGAAGAGGAGAGTAGTGGAAGAAGAGGAGAGGAGAGGGGAGGAGAGGGGAGGAGGGAGCGACGAAGCGAGGGAGGGTGAGAGGCAGAACAGAGAGAGGAAGGAGGATTGGGGTAGAAGAAAGGAGAGGAGAATGGAGGGGAGGAGAGGGGAGGAGAGTAGAGGAGAGGAGGGTAGTGGAAGAAGAAGGGAGGAGAGGGGAGGAGAGTAGAGGAAAGGAGAGGAGAATGGAGGAGAGGAGGGGAGGAGAGTAGTGGAAGAAGAGGAGAGGACAGCAGAGGAGAGGAGAGGGGAGGGGAGTAGATGAGAGGAAAGGAGAGGAGAGGGGAGAAGAGGAGAGGAGATCAGAGGAGAGGGGAGAAGAGTAGTGGAAGAAGAGGACAGGAGATGGGAGGAGAGGAGAGGGGAGAAGAGGAGAGGAGAGGATAGGGGAGTAGAGGAGAGGAGAAGAGAGTAGAGGAGAGGAAAGCAGAGATGAGGAGAGGGGACGAGAGGAGAGTAGAGGGGAGAAGAGGAGAGGAGGAGAGTAGATTAGAAGCGAGGGGAGGAGAGGAGAGGACAGGAGAGGAGAGGGGGGGAGAGGAGAGGAGGGGGAGCAGAGCAGAAGGGGGGAGAGGAGACGAGAGGAGAGGAGAGGAGAAGAGAGGAGAGGAGAGGAGAGTAGAGGCGAGGAGAGGGGAGGAGAGTAGAGGAAAGGAGAGGAGAGGGGAGAAGAGGAGAGGAGATCAGAGGAGAGGGGAGAAGAGTAGTGGAAGAAGAGGACAGGAGAGGGGAGGAGAGAAGAAGAGAGGCGAGGAAAGGAAAGGAGAGGAGAGGGGAGAAGATGAGACGAAAGGAGAGGAGAGTAGAGGGGAGAAGAGGAGAGGAAAGAGGAGAGTAGAGGGGAGAAGAGGAGAGGAGAGGATAGGGGAGTAGAGGAGAGGAGAAGAGAGTAGAGGAGAGGAAAGCAGAGATGAGGAGAGGGGACGAGAGGAGAGTAGAGGGGAGGAGAGGGGAGAAGAGGAGAGGAGAGGATAGGGGGGGAGAGGAGAGGAGAGGGGAGAAGATGAGACGAAAGGAGAGGAGAGTAGAGGTGAGGAGAGGGGAGGAGAGAAGAAGAGAGGAGAGGAAAGGAAAGGAGAGGAGAGATGATGAGATGAGCGGAGAGGAGAGGGCAGGGGAGGAGAGGACGGGAGGAGAGTACAGGGGAGGGGAATAGAAGAGGAGAGGACAGGACAGGAGACGGGAGGAGAGTATAGAGGAGAAGAGGAGAGGTGAGAAGAGGAGAATAAAGGAGAGGGGAGCAGAGGAGAATGGGGGGTGGGCAAGACAAGAGGAGAGGAGAGGAAAGAAAAGGAGAGGACGAAAAAGGACAAAGACACAGACTAAGACATCTGCATGTTGTCCTGCACAGCTGAGGAGGTGGGAGGACTGAAATCTTGGCTTCATTACTGATTTGTGCTTCTGTTGCAAGATTACCCTACACCCACTGCAGCAGCAAGTACGGAAGTGTGTGTGTATGTGTTCAATATGTCTCCATGTGTGAGTTTCACATGTACTCCTGTAAGTGACAGTGACGTTGTGTCAGTTCTTGGAATTTTGTTTGAGAACTTTATTATGACAGTGTGTGTGTGCGTGCGTACCTGTAGTTCTGTGTGGTTGGGCACGTACTGGTTGTGCGCTCCCATCAGTAAATCAATGGCAGGATGTCTGCCCTCTCTGATCACGATCTGACGCTGATTTTCACACAGTTCTGGTCTGAACACATGACACGTCTGGTTAAATACACTCGTCTTCTTTAAATGAAGTCATAATATATGCATGCACCCACATTACTGTGTACAAAATAGCATAAATGAATGCATTATATATCACAAATTCCGATCTCACAAAATGAGTCTGACTAAACAGCAACAGTAAACAACAGTAACGGTAAATATATACCCAAAACTTATACCCATCACTTTAAAATCCAGTAAAATCAAACATTTGTCAAATGAAATGAAATGAAAATATTTAGCTCTGAATAATAGACATGATGATCGTGCATGATGTTGGCGTTCTTGTTGAGCACGCTGAGAGCCCAGTGCACTCTCCCACACACAGCCTGTCTGAGACTATAGGACACGAAGCAGGACACCCCCACGTTAGCAAAGATCCCACCCACACACACACACACACACACACATACACGCACATAAAATGTAGCAGTTCACAGACCCATTTTTATGGTCGTAATAGAGAGACATCACCTGCAATAGTTCCCTTGTTTAGCAACATCAGCCAATGAGAAGAGACAGTCCATGGTTGCTAGGTGACTAATAGCCCTTTTCATGGTGTGATAGTGCTCCCCAAACTGACTGGAGGAAAGTAAGAGAAGGAGAGGGGAAGTTCATTTGACCATTAAAGTTTGTACAGTTACAGTAGCAGACAAGACTCATATTTGTTGAACAAATATGTTCTAGTAGAGACTGAAGGAAATATCTGAACCTCTGAGTGTTTAAGTGCTTTTATTCATTACTTTGGCTCCAGTGTCAGGTGTGTGTGTGTGTGTGTGTGTGTGTGTTTCTCTGTCATACTCAAGAAAGTTGATCCACTCTCTCTGGCTGTCCAGCAGCGTCTGCTCTCGGAGCTGCTGAAGTGTCCTGTAGCACTTCGCCAAGAATGGAGTATGAAACCTGCTGACTGCCTTGGTGCTGCAGAGGAGACAGAGGGATTTCATGATTAACTCTGATCCCCCTCCCCACGAGTTGTTAAATATTTCATCACATGTCGCTATGCAAAGTTCACATTAACCCTTAAATAAAAAGAAAAATATACTTTGTTTTTGTAATATAACAGGCATTACTGTTTTGTAATGCAGACATTTCGATGGTAGACGCAGAAAGTATTTCAAGTTTTTGAAAGTTTTTCTTTTTTTTATTTATTTAGCTTCATTTTTATTGTTCTGTTGTCACAGGCATTATTAAAAAAAACACACACAGAGAAATCTATCGATCCTTCTTAATAGGACCAGTACACACTAGTAGTACACGACAATATTACATTCATGAAATAATGTATACCTAGCTCATCTGCAGTAAAGTCTGATAATCACAGGGAGGTGAACCTTTTTTTAAGATCATTGTTTGTACATTTTGTACAACTAACCTTAAAAAACCTGTGTGTGAAATGTGAGCAGCCTCAGTAAACACTGTCTAAACCTCCACAACTGGTAAACATGAAAAAGATACAAACTCATTAGTCTGTCACTGTGACTGGACCTTACAGTCCACACAGTGTGCTCATTAGTTTGACCCTTCACACAAACAAGCCAAGCCACCAGACTCCACCAATTAACTTCACTCTTTCAACACACACACCCAAGACACAGTGCACTGTACATCAGACAAGGAGATTATTTCATAATAGTGATAATATTTTCATGAACAACATGTTTTTCTCTTTTTATTTTAACAATGGTTCTGGTCACTTTAATTTGTATACGTCCTTTTTTATTTTGTTCATTTGTTTCATAATCTGTCGCTTGGGAATTTTCCTTTTTTTTCCTTAGGATTTAAAAAATAAATAAATAAAATAAAATGTAAAATAAGCAAATTCTAAAACATCATTTCCTACCTCTATGGAGAAAATAGACACACCTTCTGCATCAAAGCCATTGCATCAGTTCTATCTACATTCAAATGTTCTACATCTAAAATGCATTCACCTGTTGAGTTTGACCCAGTCGCGTGGAACAGAGGATGTCTGTGAATTCTTCAACTCAATCAGAAACTGAGGAAAAAGTGGAAAGGTTAGAAAAAGAATGAAAACACCAGTCGACCAGTTAAGATCAAGTTCAAATTTGAATCAGTATCACTGTCACTCTTTACACCAGTTACTCTCCATCACTCACCGCCTCATATTTGTGCATTATGAGCACTTCATACCAGAACTGCTACAAGTCTACGCCATTTCAAAATGTGCCTACAAACACACACACACAGAATACCTCTTGCCCAGAGACAGTTTTATAGTCAAGTGTGGGGGTCTTCAGAATCTTTCTGATTTCTTTCAGGTGTTCCTGAACCTCACTGAAGACGTTCTCTATCTGCTCCCTCCGTTCCCGTAGCACAGGAAAACCAGCCAGATCTGAGAACAGTTCGCTCTTATTCCCCGACCTGCACAAATACGAGGTCGAATAGAGAAGTGAAGAGTGATTGTAGTGAGTAAATGTTAATTCTCCATCCAAAACCAACATTTGAATTTGCTTTAGAAGTTGTTGGAACACATTGTTAAAGTGGTGTTGTCCTAGAAAAAAAAAAAAAAGAAAGTATCTATTTGGCCTTTTTATTTTTTTCTCCTAAGATATTTTCTTACTATTGCTGTGTAGCATGTGAAACACTCTCTTATAAATGTTGCTAACATGTACCTACTGCTTGTAAAGGTCCTATGTCAGGAATTGTTCATTGTTACTGTTCATTGTGAAAAAAAAGTTTAAAAAAAAAGTTTAAAAAAAATTTGTTTAAAGTGAGTGTCTCTCCTACTCAAAAATAATAATTAATAATAATCAATACCTAATCTACAAACATCCCTGAAGGCACCTCTGCTACAACATTTATTTTAAAAATAAATAATTATAAACACGCCAAAAAAAAAAACCATTCTGCTTCTTTCCTGTCATATTTTGATCAATGCTGAACCAAATATTCCGTAACCTATTTTCAGATCATCTGAAAAGTTGGTGGCTACTGTCAGTCTGTTCATTTGTATTCACCTGTATAGGTGATTTGCACAGATGGATGGGTGTACTTGATGAGGTTGTCAGTGCAATCAAGCAGAAAGCGAGCTTGCAATTACTGTTACAGTAATAATAGGACAACAAAGGAACAACATAAACAGGTGCTCCTTGTGTGTCACCGACTACAAACAGAAGAAACATCCAGAACTGAACACCAAATGTTTTTGTTACAGAAGTTTATGTTTTACTTGTTTCTTGATGACTGGCTAATGTGACATTCTTCCTCTTACATCTTCCTCGTGTTTTTGTTCTGTGCTTGATACTCACTTGGCTCCATTTTTATCGAGCACCTTAAGAAAGCCGTGAGCCGGAGAGAGCAGGTTGGGAATGTCCAATAAAAGCTCCCGGAGCAGCCTGGAGCTGATCTGTGATTGGATGGCTGGTACTAAGGCCTGAAGCTCCAGAGCTATGCGACAAAGGCTGCTGGTGATGAGGTAAAACTCCTGTGTAGAAGACTGAAAACAAAACATTCATCACTGCATCTTTTCTGTATGTTACTGTGAAATATGAAACAGGAAAAATAAAAAGATATTCTGCACCTGTGCTTCAAAAATTATAATATATTATATTTATACTATACTATATATTTCTGTACACAATTTTGTCTATAGACATAGACTTTTACCTTGTCTACCTGGTCTTTTGAAATTCTTCACTTGATTTTTTTTTTTTTTTTGTACTATTGGCCATCAGTAAAACTCATGGTCGGCCAGCTGCAGTTATAACCCAAAAAAGAAGTCCTGGGTGTGCAGGGAGGATTTGCTCTTGTTAGCCTAACTTAGCCTAGCCTCAGAAAAACTTGACTGTGAGTTTTGAATTGTATGAAAAACTGTTCTGCTGAATTGAGCATAAGGGAGGAATGCAGTTTAAAAAGTTAGAAATTATCAGCAAAATATTAAGGTGGAGCATTTTTAGTCCTAGTTTTGTCCAGATTTTGTTAGGGAGTTTTACAGCTTTTTAGTATAGCGCTAACTGAACGCTAGGTATTGCAATGCCGTGAGAAGGAAGTGTCATTGTTTGCTAGGTTACTTTACAGCTGATTTGAATAATATTTACTTATATTATTTATAAGTACAATGTTGAATACTTCTTTGTAACAAGGAGGAGGAAACAAAATTATTAAAATATTAAAATTTATTAAAAATTAAAAAACTTAAAATTTCTTTAAAAATTAAAGAAAATTTGATTAAATAATTTAACATCATTAATAGATAACGTAGCTAGAACTTGTCAGAAAAACTATAACAAACACATTTTAATGTTTTATATTTACTCAGCAAAATGAAAACAACATCATAGCTGTAGATCAAACCCGTGCCCTAAAAAAAACAAGGTCATATTCATGTCATAAAAATCAAGCTAATGATTAATCAATACTCTGCACCTCACCTTTGAGGATGCGAGTGGTCCTGGAGATTATATCGACTTTATACAGCTATTAGCCACGTCACAGCCTAGCATCGTGTCATGAAAAGCTAATGAGAACCACACCGACCACAGCGTGCAGTATTAATCACAGGCTGCAGCTTTAATGCCTCCCCATGACAGCAGCCCCCTTGTTGCTCTTTTATGAACCCAAACAGACACTTACTGGAAAACCATAGGCGTGCATACTCTCCGCTCCCTCATTCCCTCCCTCTCTCCCTGTCACCCATTATGTCTGCAGAGCAATAGAGACATAGGCCATTACACACAGGCCAATTTATCTACAGATGGGCACATTGACAATTAGTTGTGTGTGTGTTATATCTGACGGAGGCGCCTGCTATGATGTCTTGCTACATGTTCCACTTTTCAATTTCTGCAGCATTTGTGAACAGATTTTGTCTCTCTTTCTCTCACTCTCTCACACACACACACACACACACACACTGCAAATAAACATAACACATTCCCTAGCCTTCCACTAACCTAAACAACAAATATACAAAGATATGCCTAAACAAAATTCCAATCCCAACTCTAATAAACTATTTCTATACCTTATTCTCAATTCAACCCTAAACCAAAAAATAATATTTTGCTCTGCAGGGTACGGTGGCTCTGCAGGTCAAAATGCAACAACAGAAAACACAAAGACAATTCAGATTCTCCAATGTTGTCACCAAAATAAAAGTATTATGTCCCCACGAGCATAGCGATATCAGGAACACGCACACGTATGCACTGATGAAATAACATGTTCTCCTGACATTTTAAAGACGGTCTCAGGGGAAATGAGACCGAGTCAAGAAGTCATTGAGGTGACAGGTGACTGTTGTTAATCAAGAGACATGAAAGTGTGGGATTTGGTTTATTGCTGGAACCCTTAATGATTCAGGACATTGTTTCATTCATTTCAATGCAACACTTTACTACTGATAATTCTACTAAAGACAAAAAAAAAAAAAAATCAAACAAGAACAACGAAAGGATCATCTCAGTCGTTTACCTTTTTATGGTATATGCTGCAGATGCCTCGCTCCAGGTCGGGTAAATGTGAGAGCAGGGATCTGGCAGAGTTTAATGTCACACTGTCTGACTGCAATATCTCTTGCACAGCATCCTGTCGCTCTGAGATGGTTCTGCAAGGTTACAGAGAGTAATGGAGGGTTGGTCCAAAAAGGTTTTATGCAATTCACTTTTTACTGAATTTTTAGAATGGGTTTCTGAGGGAGATGTTTTTTTATTTGTTGTTGTTTTTAAAGAAGACATTCTACTCTGTGAAATATGAAAAACTAACCTTTAAAGAACAAAGAATTGTGCTGTGGTCTGATATGGCACTTTTACAACAAGGACACACTATGGTTTTTAAACACATTTATGAGGTGAATTCAGTTTATAATATGACCATAAATATTATTGGTGAGATTTAACACTTCAGAATAATTCTACTGTAAATACTGTGAAATGCCTAAAAAGGTTAAAAAAAAAATTTTTCAATCTACACTGCAAAAGAACACTAGTTTCTGTGAACTGGATGGTCTGGAACTGAGCATCATGACATACTTACTGTAGTGATGTAACAAATGGACATCAGACCAACAACCAAGCAATGAAAGTGTGGTGTATTTTTTGATGCACAGATGCATTTTTTTTTTTAACCTTGTATGCCTTGGGATTAATATGCCTGTGTGTGTAATCTGGGATTTATTCCCACTGCAATCCAGCAGAGAAGCTATCTATGTATATAATCTGAGAGCAGTGCTGCGTTCACAGCTATAATGCATGCCCAGGGAAGAGCTACACACGGAACAGAAAACGCTCACAGTCACAGTGAACTGCATGGATGATAAAACTAGGAAGCAAAGACAGGTGTGAGAAATACTGCTGTAATACAAGTGAAAGGTTGTATATATGTTTATATATATATATGTGTATATATATATACACATATATATATATATATATATATATTTATATTTATATTTATATATGTGTGTATATATATATATATTTATATATGTGTGTATATATATATATATATATATATACACACATATATAAATATATATATATACACACATATATAAATATATATATATACACACATATACAAAAATATATAGGAGTAGGAGCAAAATTCTTGAATGGTTTCCGGGACTGAAAAGTCACTAAATCTAGTACCAACGTCCAATGGGCGCCTTAAACTGGACAGCTGTTCAAAAGTGATGAGTATGATTGGCTCAAAAATCTGGTGGGGCGCTGCACAGGTAATAAGTGCTGTTCATTATCAACCATTAAAGACAAAAGAGAAACATTAACCAATCAGAATGCAGGGGACCAACATGGAGGGTAAATAACCTCCATGACATTTCACTTTTTTCCATGACTCTAAAATTCATTTTCAAAGTTTCACCAGATGTCTAGGAAGCACTTTATTTTTACAAACCACAAATAATATTGTTGATTTTAAATATTTTGATTTCTCACACTAAACTGAACACAGGGCGGAAGTCGCAGAGCAGATCATTTAATATGTACTGGAGGCATAACAGCAGTGGTTCTCAAGCTTTTTCTACTCTGTACCACCTGAGAAAACCTTGATCTCTCTGAGTACCACCATGATGACCAACATTAGAATATAGCAGCATAGGCCTTCACTATTAGCTTCCCATTTCATAATCTCACAAGTAGCTACACATTTTCTAAATGTTGTATTAATTGTACATGGTATGTTTCAGATTTATTCAATCAAAAATGTAATTGCGAAAACATGAATTTCCCCCGTGTACCACTGGAGAGCTACCACTGGTGGTACGTGGACCACAGTTTGAGAACCACTGCTTTAGAGTTAATGTACTTACTGGACATTTGTGAGTGGCTGGATCACCCACTTCCTCAACAGTCTCCTCCCAAATGAAGTAGAAGTGTGGTCCATCACCCACAGCAAACTGCCCTTCAAGCCCCCGTCTGTCTGTGAGTTCATGGAAGAGAAGGTTCTGCTTTATTGTATAAGACCACACCAACAGATTTTTATCATTAACATGATCTGAAAAACCTGAACTGTTTCTTTCTGCTGAAATGAAAGAAAACAACAACAGGTCAGACTTAACACTTGATGAGGTGCTGTTGTTTCACCTGATTCCTGAGGATTTCCAGGTTCCTGAGAGTGGTAGCACTGAGGTTCATACACTCTGACACAGTGGAGAAACGTTGAAATGAGCTGTA